TACCACATACAATAATAGTGATACTAGCTAGATACGTGTGCGTTAGCATAATTGTTTATTACGTTTCCTAATATACTTTACTAATAATTATATGAACAATTTACATTTAAATGTATCACTTTATGAGATTCCAGTGAAAGTCAAGAAGACTGCACAAAGTTTATAATTGTGAAAGGCAATGCTAACAACGATCAAAGCAAGATGATGGATTATCCACACTTTCAAACTATGATGTTTGTTTTGCGAAATTCGTTACAATTGTTTCATTTTTTTTTTAATTACCTAACAAGGCTAAATTTAAGTTAAAGTTTACGTAATGTTTATTTGGTTCATAAAATCTATATATATCAAAATTAATTGCTGTTCGTTAGTCTCGCTAAAACCCGAAAACGGCTGGACCGATTTGGCTAATTTTGGTCTTGAATTATTTGTGAAAGTCCAGAGAAGGTTTAAAAGGTAGATAAATATGAAAATGCTCGGAATTATATAATAATAACAATTTTGTTTTTCCTTTGATGTCCCCCCGTCGGACGCATTCCTTTTGTTTGTTTTAAGTTTATTTTATACAAAAGTTTAGGTCTTTTATTTATCGATTGAGGCACTACGAAGTCTGCCGGGTCAGCTAGTACTCAATAAATTTAATATTATAAACACTTTATTTTCAATTAATTTACAACAGACGCATTATTCATTTTAATCTGCCATACATATAATTTACAATAAACTTAGTTTCATGAAAGGACGCCTCTTTTAAGAATTCATTATTTTTCAGACGCTACTTACCTTCACATAGTTAGACTGTTTATTTAAAGCTTATCTATTGTACTAGTTCTAATTACATAAAAAAATCTATTGCAGCTAGAATTTTATTACTTGTCTCGCGGTTTATGTTATTATTATGTAGGTACTATTTGAGATTGTCACTCATTGGATTTGGAACAGTTAGAATTTCCTTCGAAATCTTATCAATCAATTTGTTACATTCCACACTTAAATCACCAAGTTACGGAATTGCGAAAGCGGAATCGTAAAACATTTGTCGGAAGTCGTGAGAAGTGGGTGTTGTCATGCCAAGAAAGCAGGCTGTTAGTGTGTAATCACCTATTGTTGATGGAGTTCCGATATATGCAATGGTACTTTAGATTGTTCACGATTACGGAAAGGATGTTTCGACCAAATATCTTCCAACGCATTCAATCTTATGCGCAAATGAGTTTAGTATCGAAAAATATATTTTAATGGCCTTTAAATAAAGACGTGTCAGAGATACAGCTAAACCGCTGCCTACCGCTGGAGACTCTTCTCTCGTATGTAAGCTTCCATTCTCCTTGAGGACATGGCATTGCCTTTTAATTTGAAAGGACAGAGTGCAATAAACCAACCAAACCGAAATCCGTGCATATAGTAATGGTTAAAACTATCACGTCTTGCCATAAATACTATTATGGAAACCATGGTATTTTTTTCTCTTTTTTTTGTGATATAATAGCAGTTTTAAAATTATATAGCTCATACAAAATTGGCTCATTGGCTTTAATGTAATTCTCTAAAGCTATTATTATGACCAGTCATTAATTAAAATACGATCTTTCTCGACGGAAAATTGCCAGTCAAGTTCCTATATATTATGGCGTTTAGAGCATACCATACTGTTTAGCAGAAGCCATGAAGAACAGTCAAGTTGATTAAGATCGAGACTACATGAAGGCCTATGTTCAGCTCTGTGTGCTTATTCCGAGTTTTTTAACTTCTCCTAAAGATAACTCAAATTTGCATGGAGTTGGAACAGCTTCCCTTCGTTAGTCGCTAGGGGCGCTGTTCCAACTCCATACAAATTTGAGATAACTTTAACGCGATCGAGAAGTTAAAAAACTCGCACTCAGCACAGTGATGAAGTTGAGCCCTAATGAATAATGTTTATTTCCAACCACTCTTGTTTGAATCCAACTCAATGATTCAGTACCGAATTTTGTTTAAAGAATCATTCTTGTTCATGGAATATGCTGTTAAATGATTTGAACATCAAGAATCGTATCTTGTTGCATTAAAGAAGTGATATTGCAATGGATACCTTCTCACATCGGCTTGTGTGGTAACGAAAGGGTGGATAAGTTAGCTAAGGAAGCTTCTAGTGATGGTGTACCATTGAACATAGTTCCTAATTATACCGATTGTGTCAACTTAGTAAGAGAGGAATGTTATCGTCTATGGAAAGTATATTTCGATGAAAGTTCTTTGGAAAAAGGCGTGTGGTACAAAACAATTCAAAGTCTACCATGGAAAACGCCATGGTTTGATTCTTGTAACCTTAATAGAACTATCTTAGTGACTGTTTTCAGACTTCGTTCCGGGCACATCCCACTCAATAAATTTGCTCATTTAATGGGGAAGGCTCCTGATCCCAAATGTTCAGTTTGTGATGTAGTGGAAGATGCTTTTCACATTATGATGGAGTGTGCGTGGAATGATGATTTGAGACAACAATTCTTTGCAAAATATACAGATTTTCGACAATTTTGAGGTGTAAATTGCGTATTAGCCTTTCCGAAATCCGAAATGGCTAAGTCACTTTATAAAATAGTGTTGGTGGGCCTTCAGAGACGATAACAGTTTCCTTTATTTTTTTTATAAAATTCTTTGTTACTATCTTTTGTAGCACAATGGAGTGACATATTCACTAGGTGAATCATCTCCTTAAATAAAGACATAAAAAAAATCTTGTTGCATCTGGGCCAATTTTTCGATACTTTTTTCATATAAAATCGCTCTGTCGCTCCATAGTGCAATAGCTAGCGCCCCACCAAAAGATTACTGAAGCCAGTTGATGACAACTGTGCACCTGTATGCTGATGAAGTGAAAAGCTCATAAGCACGGTTATTTTATTTGTTAAAATGTTGCTCGATTTGAGTAAAGTTATTTTCGTCAGTATTTAAATACGAGTATATTGTACAACCGTCAGCTTTACAGAAAAATACCTATTTATATTGACGTTTCTTTGCACAGAGTAATTAACCAACTGAGTTTCTCGCTGGATCTTCTAAGTGGGTCGCGATTCCGATTCGGTAGTAGATTCAGCGAAACACGTTTCTTGCTAGGACTAGTGTTAGCAATTCTCTCAGGTTGAGCCCGTGAGCTCACCTACCAGTCCGCGCTAAGTTGGAATAGCCTCTTAGGCTACCAACGATTAGGTAGGGAAAAAACAGTGTAATAACTTTAGCATTGGATGGATCTGACAGTTATTTTACCGTGTACTTTCGTACAAATTGTTTTATATGAAGTTTTATTATTTTTTTTATGTTTCAAAGTACTTTTTACGACTTACTGTTTTGAATTTTATATTATCAATGGCAAAAAGGCAATTATATTTTATATAGCTATATTATATAGACTAGCAATCTTATCAAAATGTCTTGGCGCAGCATGTGTACCGAAAATGGCAGAATTTAAGCATATAAATAAAACATTGATTTGTAATGTTTTACATATTATTCACATCATCAAAATTTTAATTCAATACGATTAATAACAATTAAACGTCTTTTAAAATATTTCGACACTTTCACAGCGGATTTCTCTCAAGCTTTCCAATGTTTAACAGATCTAATAGAATATTACGTGTGTGAAACACGTAATAAATATTCCATTCACAGCCATCCGGTTTCTTGGTACCAACACCAGGTAGGCACTGCATATGACATTCATTAAATATTAATTTTAAATCAATTTATTACAAAAATATTTTGTGTGACTGGCCAATTCTGGGATATATTTAATCGAATTAATGTTAAATAGTAAACAATACCTAGTCATATCGCTACCATTTTAACAAGAGATTGTTTTAAGACTAGCCCTTTGTACTTATTAGTACTTCAGCAGAGCAAGATTGTTGAGTAGTGTCATTTAAAAGAGACAGAGGGAGTTTTCGATTAAAAATGTAAAAGATTGTGGATAAAAATAAAAAACCTCACAACACAGAGCAGGTAGCTTGCTCGTCCCAACAGTTTACTGCGTCGCAAAAAAAATCGTGACCCCGAGTTGAAAGAAACCAGATTCCGTCAGACAAAAAAACACTGTGCTCAGTTTATCGATGGAGAAACATAACAAGTGTTCATTATTTAAAAAAATAAAGTAATCCGCATCGTTTACTTGGTTAACTTCTTTCATAAGCATTCCTCGTAAGATTCTCATAATTTTTGGAAAGCTTATGAACATAGTGCCTTTACAAACCTTATTCGGCAAATTGAACTGTAATCTAAACCTTAATGATTCATTAATAAAGGTATTTAATGAAACCGGTTCGTAGGGTACCGTTGATTTTACGGACAGTAAAAATGTGTGATTTAATAATTATTGTTATCGGTCGAGTTGTTTTAATCTCCACGTTCGCTCGAGCAGGGTTCGCTCACGGCATAGTACAGTTACCCACACATTCGTGCCATTAAATACGTGCATATTTATGCGTAACGTGTCTACTATAACGGTGCGCCCGGTAAGGATCCGAAAGAGCATGTGTTACAACGTGTGTTTTTTTTATCACCTAGATTTATAGTCTGTTTATTCTTGTGGCATGAATCGAAGGAAATGTTGCAAGACGATGCCAAACATGTTGATGGTCAAGATACATTGCGCGTTTGCCGTTCTATCAATTAAACAATTAATAATGAAATACATACTTTCAAAAACAGTTAATTTTTATGCCATATAATTTTAACGAGCGTGATGCAAAGTAACTATATTATAAATATTTAATCCGACGTGTTCAAGGAAGAGTCTGTATGACCTTGTATCTATGACGTAAATTAATAAGATTCCATCGCAATCGACGGATTTAAATACCGTATTTAATCTAACATAAAAACTTTTAATTGTCATCTAAAACTTTTTCCAAACTTTTCTACGCCCGCATGCTTCTGTAGATGGTCCTGATTTGTGCTAATCTAAAAGGATAAAATATTAGTATTAGAGAAAAAAGTTAGTAATACAAGGAAAATCTCCTTACCTGAATGTTAGATCGCTTTACTTCTATATAGAGCCAATTGTCTGTTGAGAAGGCTATGGCCATTAAAGCAGCAGCCACGATTGCTGTAATAGTCGCTATAGACAAAGTTACTGCTGAGCAAGGCATTTTTTTAAACCTTTAATAGACAATAAAGGATAGAACAGATAGATTACAATCACAATCACAACACTTATTAAGATGGTTCACCTATACAGCATTTTCGTAAACACAGCGGAACGGAGAACACGACAGCACACTCACTATTTAATAAAAACTCATGAATGCGGTCATCGGCTGCAGCGTACCGAGTTCGCGCGCGAGACTTCTTTGCCTACTTAGCACTACTTCGCCTTGCCGCTCTCTTACGGATGTGAAACTTTCCAAAGCGAAACCACCGCTCCTAGCGGCAAAAATTTAAATGAAAAAACCAGTATTGTGTTGCCAGAGCATTCCACAATAAAATCATCGACGTTCAGGTTAAATGATTGAGATGATGATGATATTCTTTTATATCACGTCTACTAGTCATGCTAAGAAGACTGATTGAATCTATATATTAATACGTGTAGCAAAAGCTTTGTACCCCTTTTTACGAAAATTGCGCGGACGGAGGAGTATGAAATTTCTCACACTTAAAGAGAATATAGAGAAGGAGTGCAGAATGCTGGTATTTTTAAACGTAAAAAATACATGAAGTCAATAAAAAAACATTACACACACTACCATGTATTTGACACACCCACGCATATTTTTTGTTTATTGTTAAAGTTTGTAGTCAAATTAAGAATAGAACATAGACCTAGGTTTCCTACTTCAGTGAAATAGAATCATATTTTTTGTCTTTTTTTTAAGGGATTTTATGACCTGGTAACTAAGACTTTTAAGTCATGTCTTATTTTAATTATTATTTACATACTTAATTTTATGAAAAATGATAATATGGAGTGAAATGAAATGAAATGAAGATGATTAATTTGAGACATTAATCAACTGGGAGGAAATTAATTGAAATGAGATGATATGGGATGAAATATAATCTCAGTAAAATTGTGGTCATTTACTGAGAGTTTTTCAGTGGACTTTTTGGAGGAACCCGAGAAGTTACGTCCAGCAGCTTTGTTTCATTTTCCCATTTTTGTGCACTTTCACAGATATTAAACAGTTAATAAACCACCGTTATTACACATTTAAACCTGAAAAAAATCTAAATAGACAAAATAAAACAAATCACACAACTTCACTTTTCATTTTCATTAAAAATAAGAATTTATATTAAAATAAGACGTGACTTAAAGGTCTCAGTTGGTTGGTCATACAATCCATAAAAAAAATATTTTTGAGACTTTTGGCGGGAACGCGAGGAGTGAAGTTGTGTGATTTGTTTTATTTTGTCTATTTAGTGTTTCTTCAGGTTTAAATGTGTGATAACGGTGGTTTATTAACTGTTTAGTATCTGAGAAAGTGTACAAATGTGGGAAAATAAAACAAAGCCACTGGACTTAACTTGTCGGGATCCGCCAAAAAGTTCACTAAAAAGTCTCAGTCTCATTTTCATCCCATATCATCAGATCTCATTTTATTTCATATCATTTCACTCCATATTAATATTTTTCATAAAAATAAGAATATAAATTAAAATAGGACTTGACTTAAAAGTCTTCGTTACCAGGTCATAAAATCCCTTAGAAAAACAAATGTTTGAAATAAAATATTTTGTGTCTTTTTTCATTTTTGTAATGAACTAATCCTGTTTTAATATTTCGAATACGGAAGAATTCATAAAAAATGTCATCCGCGAACGAATTTAGCCAATACGACGATATTTTATCAAATATTTTAGTTAATGAAAAATCTATCTTGGGTTTTCTATCGGCAATTTTTAATTTTTTAGCAAGACGGTAAAAAATATTTCTAAAACGTACCCTAATGTAAATGTTAAAAATATAAATTTATATTTTTAATTATCCACAGCACCGATTTCTATTATGTACCGGATGGCCAGTACGAAAACATAGGTTTTCCGCCGGGAGTTGCTGAAGAACTGGTTATTAAAGTTCTCCGGACATGCGACCCCAAAAACGTGAAGGAGCCGCACAAGCACACTGATTTAAACAACGAGATCATGTGCTCGACAGTTGCCCAAGAGGTCGAAGTAATTGCTAGTGAAGATACCTCGGTAGACCTTGAGGCAAGTGGGGAACAAGATGTCCTAACATCTGAACATCAAGTAAGGAAAGCAGTTTCGAGTCAGCCTGAAGAGTACAAGCCTCCGGTGATACCAATACAGAAGAGAAGCGAGTGCTACAATGGAGCGGACAGAGAAAATTACTCGTGGGCGCAAACTCTAGTGGATCTTGGTATATATATTTTTTTTTATTGCTTAGATGTGTGGACGTTCTCACAGCCCACCTGGTGTTAAGTGGCTACTGGAGCCCATGGACATCTACAACGTAAATGCGCCACCCACCTTAAGATATAAGTTCTAAGATCTCAGTATAGTTACAACGGCTGCCCCACCCTTCAAACCGAAACGCATTATTGCTTTACGGCAGAAATAGGCAGGGCACTAGTACCTACCCGTGTGGACTCACAAGATGTCCTACCACCAGTAATTACGCAAATTATAATGTTGCGGGTTTCACTTTTATTACATGATGTTATTCCTTCAACGTGGAAGTCAATCGTGAACATTTGTTGAGTACGTATTTCATTAGAAAAATTGGTACCCGCCTGGGATTCGAACACAGGTGAATCGATCAACACGAATGCACCGGACGTCTTATCTCTTAGGTCACGACGACTTCGAAATGCACCCTAAAATACTAATTGATGCTATGTAAAACAATTCAGCAGAAGCAAATTTTCTTTTTTATTTCAGATGTAACTGTTAAACTTCCACCAGATATAAAATCTTCAAAAGACCTAAAAGTTGCTATAAATCCTGGAGATATTTATGTATGTCGACAGAACGGTGATGTAATTGTTAAGGACTCTCTGCTGTTCAAGATTAAGACCAGTGATAGTTTCTGGAGTCTTAGCGAGGGACGATTGTTGATGCATCTGGGTAATTTTATATTAATAATCATAAACAAATGATAATCAAATAATTTTTAGTCAATGTTTTCAACAGTAATTGGCTATTGACCAATATAGGCTTAGCAAGAGTCACAAAATTCAGTGATGTGGCACATAATAGTTCTAGTAATGCTAGTTGTATACATTTGTTGATTAAAGCAATGTGAGAGGCAGTGCTGATTTTGAGTAAGTATTGGCGATTACCATATTTATGATTGTATCTGCACCCAAATAATTTTTAATGTGAAATAACTGATACTACAACATTTGCAACATTCACCTCATGACTGAAGCTATATAGTGATATATATATATAGATATATTATAAGCTATATGTATATTTGTTAGTAGTATCTTGTGAGCATGTACGGATAGATACTACCACTCTGCTTATTTCTGCTGCTCTGAAGGTATGAGGTTAAAGGATGAGATAGCCATTATACTATAGAACTGAGACATAAGGTTGCCTGTCTCAAGGTTGGTGATGGAATTTGTGTTGTTGCTGTTCATGGGCTCTAGTACACTCCACGACAGATGGGCATTGAGTGATGAGAAAAAATAAGAACAATAGTAATAACAATTCAACCAATAACAACTGGCATAAAATCCAAGCTCATCTATTTTTGTACTCACTAAAAATTTTAATCATACTATAATAAGTGCTATTTTATAAACATAATGTTTCAGTAAAAATATATGTTAATTATTGACTGTTGAATAGAAGTACAGAGCTAGTTTCTATAAAAAAAAATCATTAGATTTTCTAGAAATCTACATACATTCAGGACTTAAGCCATAAAGTGCAAAATGAAAAATGGTGGAAAACTTTTTTTAAGTTTTACAAAATACACCTTGTAGTATTAATTACAAGGGTAACACTTAATTTGTAACAGAAAAAGTCCGCGAGCAATGGTGGTCAAAGCTTTTGATTGGCGAAGAAGACATTGATTTATCAAAGATAGACTGCTCAAGGCCCTTACATGAACTCCCAGATGATCACATTGNATAAAGTGCAAAATGAAAAATGGTGGAAAACTTTTTTTAAGTTTTACAAAATACACCTTGTAGTATTAATTACAAGGGTAACACTTAATTTGTAACAGAAAAAGTCCGCGAGCAATGGTGGTCAAAGCTTTTGATTGGCGAAGAAGACATTGATTTATCAAAGATAGACTGCTCAAGGCCCTTACATGAACTCCCAGATGATCACATTGATAAGGTACATTTTGAAAACTGCATAACTTGTGACTTAATTTTTTTACTTAACAATCTTAAATATGTTATTGTAGTGCATGTTATCCATTATCCTAGTTTCCCAGTTAGTTACCTATAAAATGAATAGTTTTTATTGCAGGTAGGTAACAGACCTGTTGGTAAGTTGTCACATGCACCAGTTGACAATGAACCTTGTCTATATGCAACAGGTGTTCTATCAGTAACTTAGAAGTTGGTCATACATAAAAAATCATATTATGAATTATCTACCCAATATATTAACAGAAACTATGAAACAAACATTGAAATAGGATAATTTAAGCTGGGCGTTATTTAATAATATTAAAAACTCGAAAGATGGATCTTTTAGATAAAAGAGCTTCAATGGAACCAAGAACAGAAAATGAAAGGCCTACCTACTAGTGATGAAATAAGAAACATTGAGATATTGAAGAAAGCTTGGAATGCTGATGGTTCTCCATTTAAAGGTCAAAAGTTTGACCCTAGTATTCTTAGCCAATCATTTACTCCTTTTGGAAATAATAAATAAATTCAGTATTTATATTCATGTTTAATTTATAAATTTTCCTCAGTTTTGTCTAAAAGCCACTCAAAACCAATTTCCCGATCATCCCTTGTTGCTCAATTAGTCTGTGGGCCTCTCTTAAATTGGCTGCATTAATGGGTGACAGAGTATTTGTCAATGTGTGTTTCAATTCACCTTTGTCAAGCCATTTTGAAATTTGCTCTAATATTTGATGATGTCTGATCTTATCCTCTGTATCATACTTTATTCTTGTAAACATCATTTCAGACACAAGAGTAACGCTTTTATCTTTCAAGGGCCTCAAGTCTACTAAACCACTACTGTCGACTATCAAACAAATCCTACCTTGAGGTTTGATAGCTTTCATTAAAGTATCCCAGTATGGGAACGGATCATAATTAACTAAGATAAAATCTACTCCATTTCCATGCCCTTGGGCTACTAGTTGTGGAATCAAATCTTGTGTGTGATTAAGAACAATGTCTGTTCCATGCTGAAGACTGAACTCTTGTGTTTCTGGACGTGAAGCTGTTCCAATCACTTTTAATCCCAAATTCTTTGCCATCTGTGATGCTACTGAACCAACACCACCAGCACTATTAATTATAAGCAGAGTACGCCCTTTATCTTTGCTAGAGATTAAAAGTCGATCGTAGATGCATTCATAAGCAGTGACTGAAGTCAGAGGCATGGCTGCTGCCTGCTCAAATGTTAGTTTTTTCGGTTTTGTTCCAACTAAAACTTCGTCTAAGGCTACGTACTGTGCATTTGAGCCGTTTCGTCTATGATCACCAGTGAAAAATACTTCATCTCCTATATTGAATGTCTTAGCACTCTGGCCTTTGGCGACAACGACGCCGGCGCCGTCCCATCCCAAGATCCTCGGTGTAGTCTCGACATTTGGTTTCGGAGCGCGTTGTTTTGCATCTATAGGATTCACTGCGATCGCCTTAACCTCCACTAAAACGTCTTTTTCTTTTAAAACCGGCAAATTCACTTCCAAATCGATGAGACTGTTTACATCTGCAATTGGCAGGTATTTGTACAATCCTACAGCCCTCATTGTTTTAGGTAAAGCCATAATAATATTGGTAGGGGTAGATAATTCTTGGCTTGCAACTTGCTTGGCGGAGAATGCCGCTATCAATATAAAAAGGACAAACATGATCATTATAACCTAAAGATAAACGATTTAAAGAGATAAAATGTTAAATGTCATGTTCACTCAACAAGTCAACACGATCGAATTTAAACGCTTATACCGGTCACTCACATTCGCACGAATACGCAAACCCGCAAGTGTAGGACGACATTTGCAAATGATTATGCAAAGTTTTCGCTGCATTCGCGGTTTTCCAAGCTGTGTCGGTTTATTAATGGACATCAAAGCGCGAGAACCGCGATCATTCGTTTAGTCTCCCACATTCGTGTGACCAGTTGCGCCCACGGTTGCAAAGGTAAAGGACGTTTCGCCATTTTCATAGTTCGTGACATCTACTGTGTAGCGTACCTTCATCATGGATTGGAACAACACCAAGGTGATGGAGTTCATTGAACTTCTGCAAAATGAATCGACCATGTGGGACCCTCAAAAGAAAAACCATAAAAACGGAAAGGCCGTTAATGTCGCCTGGGAAAGAATTAAAAACTATCTTTCTATTCAATGTTCTATTGGCGAATTAAAAAAGAAGAGAATTCGTGAGATATTCGTACACAAGGGTAGGAGGAAGCGCAAACGGGTTCGCAAATTGAATACCGAACCCATTGCACAGCCGCTAAGTTTGCGAATGAATGTCTGACGGCCCTTCACATGCGCGCGAACATTCGTACAATGTACAAATGTTCGCGCGCATGTGAGTGGCCGGCATTAGATTCAGAAAGTTGAAATATAAGTAGGTATAGGTATGTAAATCAATGCTTATATTTATTTTTTATTTTTTTTATTTTTTTATTTATGTACACACAGAAAACAAGACACAGTACAGAGTAATAGGAAAATTATGTACAAAGGCACTGCTTATTTCTTTGAGAAATCTCTTCCAGCAGACCTGCGAGAGGATAATGAGAATAATAATAAAAAGTGATAAGTGTGTGTAGAACAAATAACACATAACTAAAACAACAAATACAACATGAGAATTATAGCACATACACATAGCAAATATTATAAGTAACACAGTAACACTCGTATATGCGAAGAGTATAGAACCATGATCATTCGGTTGATGAGAGATAAAATTGTTTGACCTTGTATTTAAAAACAGAAACAGACTTGCAAACTCGGATGTCAGCCGGCAACGAATTCCACAGTCTAACCGCGTGCACAGTAAAGGAGTGAGAATAGAAATTGGTTTTGTGGGAAGGGAATAACAAAACAGAACGTTGGTTGGACCTGCAGGGAGCATCAGGAGAACGAATGAAAGAGAATCGCTCACGTAAATATAAGGGAGAAATATAAGGGAGAGCTTATATTCATATTACTAGGTACATATTTCATATTATGTGTATTGTTTATGCATATAATACGACGTGATTACTTATGTACGAATTTTTGGTGTTTCTAGAGTGATCAAGTTACCGGCAGTTTAAGGTCTTGAAAACCGAGTTTCGAAGATTATTGTGCCATTGCAGTGCTTATAGAATAGACGATACAGATGACTTCTATTAGGTGGGCCGTAAGCTTATTTGCATTCGATGACAATCGGTTTAGGTCTCTTAGCAAAGATTTGAACGTATTAATGTGCACTGGTAACTTACCGGACATAAATAACAGTGAAAGTATACGCACTAGTTTAGTAACAACAACAAAAAATTATAGTCAATTAAATATTAGAAGATGTAAATAGTAAGAACAAGTTTATATTGCGGTTTAATCTCGTCTTTATTCAACACGTACATAAAGTAGCTATTACAATTTTCGACGTTTCATATTGACAGTTTTCGTAGTCACGTATCAGTACTTAGGTACAAATCTATTTTGATCAATACGGTATTTGAAGAATGAAAATAGTACTGCAGGTATAGAAGTAATAAGACTGTAGATATAAACTGCTTCACGGCAGAAATAGACAGGTTGGTGGCACTTATCCGTGCGGACGAAGACGTCCTACCAACAGTCACTACGCAAATTATTATTTTTGCACATTTGATTTTTATTAATTACCTACACGATGCTATTCCTTCACTGTAGAAACCAAGCGTGAACATTTTTAAGTACGTTTTCATTAGAAAAAATGGTATCTGTCTGAGGGATTCGTATACAGACCCAGTTGCATCGCTTGACTCGAATGCACCGGGCCTTTTAACCTGACGACTTATTCAGGAAATATGAACAAATGATTTAGTATAACGATATTTAAGTATGCATAGCTTATAAAATTAATATTCATAAAGAGACTGATATTGACTACTTACACACACAAGAACCTAACCAACTGCGAAGTTTTTAAATTAGTAAGGATATCTATCGATAGGAAAATACTAAAGATAGACTTCTTAAAGTAATTTGGTGGCTGTATCAGTTTATTTTATATAATGAGGTCTCTTGCCCAAAGTAGTTTCGGAATCCCCAATTTATGATTACAGTTTTGGCTTTGAGAATGAAACGAACGTTTTGAAAACGAATCGCCTTTGATTTGATTTTCAATTATAGGCTGTGTTACTCTTAAACTAAGGTGAAAAAATACTACTACCGCAGAATACAATTCCTAAGTAGGGTAGTGGTGAGACGGGCTGGTTTATGCAAGGCGGTCGACATAGATAAGATATAGGTATATGCGGTCGGTATCTCTGTTTCTTGGGGTTACGAACGAATGAATTTCATGTTGGTTCCCATAGTTGTTGTGTAGTGGTAATTGGTAATATAATTCAATAAATGAAACAATTGTAGCTCAATTAATGCTTTATTACTATAGATATGATTGATATTTCCGTCAATGCAGAATTGTCACCAACGATTACACCTTAATTCACATTTATAACAAAAGCAGATCCCAATATATCACAGAATATACACGCTGCCTACTATTTTCTCAATGCGCGAAAACATAATTCGGTATCACGAAAATTAACAAAATGCCTATATTCAAATGTATGCTTATTGCTTACAAAGAAACTTGAATAAGCAGCAAATAAAGTATAAAAAGAGATTACAAAATTTTGATTTTGCACTGAAAATCCGTTACGTGCATTTTGTTTGTTATTTATCACATTGTAGCTTTATGTAGGTACCGCCAGTAGCGCTTTTTATTACTTACTTTTTTTCTAAATAAATAACTATCACACACTGTTCAAAAACGTACCTAATTCTTGAATATGGTGTGATTCAAAGTCGTAAAACGGTCAAACAACTAGTCTCTGTTCCTCTCAAATAATATGCCAAATAATTTTTTGTTTAGTCAATAATTTAACAGGTAGGTTTAACAGGTACTTATACAACAGATATACATCGTGAATGAATCGTTGTATTCCATCAACGAGTTCTTGAACGTAGGTAGGTTTGTAGTTAATATATTTTTAGTCAGACGATTTTACCCTATTAGAAGTAGTTCACTGGTATTATTTTAGATTAGGAAACACGGATACCTATGCGATCACGAGCTCATAATGGCAACTCTCCTACCATTTTAATACTATTTGCACATCTTCCGTACAAACTAAATATTTTGATTGCTGTATAGTTAGGCTGACAAACCCCACGAGCCGATCTAGTTACAAGGTCACTACGGGGATAAACTCTGTTATAGTAGATGCCATGAATCTTTAGTAATGTTTTCTGCATCCTGGGCAAGAACCGAAATAGGATGATGCTAGTCTAGACCGCGGATCACTATATTCACCTAAGCTCCCTATTCAACCTCTCACCTTATACAAAAATCATCTTTTTATAATGGTGGCAGAATGTGCTCAGCTCGTAGGGTTGCTACATCCTAACCTTATTTGGCGAAAAGTCCGTAAAATTGTTATTTCTATGCGATTGATTATACCATAAACCATATCACGTTATAAGGTGGCAATTATTGCATCTCAATGGACTCTAGTGACCGCTTGACTTTAAAATTAATATTATAATACGATTTTTTAAACTAAATTCTAAAACTCAACCTAAGTAACACTTTCATTAATTAAACATCATAGCAATAGTAATTTAATATGTCATACCCGCGGTACGTCGTGTTAATTGATGTATATTTTAAATTATTTAGATTTTGTAAATAAATAGATTATGTAATAATAATTTTCAAATATTGAAATCTTCTAGAATTTGTTTGTTGATATGCCATTTCGGACAAAGACACAATAGGTTAAGTGATTGAAAAAACATTAAATTTCTTCCTTGAACTTTTGTACTTGCAAATTTGTACAACAAGTTACCAAAATTATCAGTCAATCTTTGTGCTACTAATAAATAAAAAAATTCAATACATTCAGTATTTCCCCTTATAACACGGTAGATTGGTTCCGCGTTATAGGAAACGCGTTGTAGAAGTATTCTCGCATAACGCGATTGTATGACCCCATGTAACTTCATATTATGTACAATATAATTAATGATTTTAGAATTCAAAAACTAGGAACAGAAATTAAATAAATCATTTTGATTCAATTTTATAACAATACAATTGACACAATGTGCAAAGGTACGCGAAATTAATTATGAAATTTACAAATCATTATAAATTTCACAGTACCTACCTACAGAAATATAAAATTTTAAATCCCCGTGTTCTATGGGAGAATACGCGTGTTATACGATGGACTGAAATGGCGTAATTCGAAAATGCGTTATAAGAGTACCGTGTTATGAGGGGGACTAAAATTTTCCATTATTAACAGAGTAGGTCTGTAGAAAATTAACTATCAATAAGTACTATGCAGTCGTTTATTATGGTTTACGTACGTTTTTTTTTTTCAACATTAAAAGCACTAAAGCCGATTCTTTAATAGGTAATTGATATTTTCTATATTTGTGAAATGTTATTTTGAAAGCAATCTTTAGTTTTCCTCAAACACTAATAATGTTTTAGCCTTATTCAAATCTGATTGAACTAGGTATCTACAAAATTTAACAATACTGACAATAACACCGTATCTCCATTGATTACATACATCAATAATTTAATAAATATTTTTTTTATCATAAACATTTAACCGAGACAACAAAGAGGGCTTGAAATCTGAATTTTAGAAAAGAAGGACTTATCTACTCTTGACACGCTGCCCAAGGAACAAACCG